ACTCTTTCTGAGCTTGGGCAGCAGGATTTGTGCAAGCGAGAGAAAACATCCTCTTTATGAAATGCGTGTGCATGTCCTTATAGCGCTCTGTGCAGGTTCCTGCTCTGGTTCCTCTTTCCGATACAGGCAACAGCAGCAATTAACAATCCCAGGTCCGCCGTTTTTCTTCTTGCTGCAGCCTCTCTTAATAGAATAAGGTCTGTTAAAGCCTGTTGTAATTTCTCTGAGAATTTTGTTTTTACACACAGATCAATATTCAAATTCTTCTCATTTCAATATTTGTTCTCAGCATCTGCAGCCAACGTAGAAGTCAGACGCAGAAGATGTGAATTCCAGCACTGAGATCAGTAGAACATCTCAATGGTAAGTTCTTGCCTTGAAATACACCCAAAAGTCACCCAAAAGTGGGAAGTGGAGAAGGAATGACGGAAAACGGGGAAGGAATGAGGGGCCCTCGGGCCACCGCAGCCCGAGCGCAGAGCACGGGATGGAGCCGAACAAGATTCCAGGTTCGCAGTGCTGGTCAGGTTTCACAGGCACAGCCCCGCGCTCGCCCTGTCTGCACGCCCGAAACGCCGACAGCGTGTTACAGTGCGAGGTGGCGCTGCTGGGGGCTTTGTGTGCTTCAGCGGAGCTGTAAGTAGTTAATAAAGGGGCTGGAAAGATATCCTGTTTACTGATTGTTCCTGATTGTTGTTTTCTTGATAACAGAGCAAGCCACTAAATGACTGTTTGAGCTCAGGTGCCACAAACAAACATAATGGCTCCCAGCGTGCTGGCCCTGCTGGAGGATCACTCCTCACCTTCCAGGACTTATGGAGTTCAGGTGGAGAAGGCAGCTTCCAAGGAGGCAAGCGCTCTGAGGAGGAAGGATGGGGGTGGGGGGAGGCTCGCCTATATGACGGAGCTTTCCATATTGCACGGTATCTGCCGTCATTAGCCAGGGAAGGGGGTGTAAAATTAATGGGTAGCTTTCCCTGAGCCTTCTGTCTGTGCTGGAGGTCGGGGCAGAGTCTGTGCGCCTCTCATCACAGCATCCCAGCCGAGAGATGTGGCTTTTACAACAGGCTGCTGTTTCGTTTGAATATCATTGAATTTTCTTGCTGTGGCTGAGCATCACAAAACAAGTGCTCTGGGCTTGTCTGGGGCTGGGGAGGGAGGAAGGGAGGCAGGCAGGGAGGGCGGGCGCACAGCCTCACCGCGGTCAGCCCACACTCCCCACCAGGCCGGGTCGCCCGTGTGAGAGATGGAATTGTTTTGTTTCAGCCATTTTGTATGTGAACGACACAGGCAGGGCTGTGAGCGGCCATTTTGTGTGTCGACGGCACAAGCAAGGCTGTGTAACTTAGAAAAACAACTCCTTAAAAGGAGAAAAGTGTGAATTGAGTTTGTGATATGCTAACGGGTCGTGAAAGAATGTGCGCCCTAAAGCGCCGTAAAGTACCTAACCAATGGGAAAAGGGGACAGGACATAAATACCTGAAGTTTTGTAGCTCTGCGTGCTCTTTTTGAGAGGCACCCAACTCAGCTGACTCGTTTATTCTGATCCGATCTGAAATAAACTTTTATCTTTGCTTTGAAGACTTTGTCCTCTCTACATTTTTTATCCGTGAGCGAGTGTTTCTCACAATTTGGGGGCTCATCCGGGATCAGCACCCCTGTTTTTGCGGGACGAGGCAGCGAGGATGGAGGGGCGCGCCCTGCTGATTTTAGCAGTCTCCAACTTACTGCCTCGTTTCGTGGAGGGCAGCGACGGAGGACGCTCGAAGCAAAGGGGTAGAAAGGAAAAGTTGATAAAGTGACAAAATTGAATTATGCACAGCAGCTGACAATTTCTGTGCACAGAACCCAGGTAAGAACATTGACTGTTAAGTATTACTCGGGCGGCTAGGAAAGTCCGGGTAAGAAAATTGGCTGTTAAGTATTACCCGGGCGGGAGAGCGGGACTGAAAGCGTGTGAATGAGACGCAGGATGATCTGCGAAGTGAGTGTGGAGCCCTTATAACTGCAGTTCCGTTTCTCTATGAGGAGACTATCTGGTGAAGGGGTGAAGCGACAGGGTTCCAGGTGAGCGGAGTCCCGCGTGGAGCCCTTGTAACCACAATTTTGCTTCTCCGCGAGGAGAGGAACCCCTAACGGCTTCTCTGTGAGGAGAAAGACTGGTAAAGGGGCGCCACGTGAGCGGGATCTGCGCAGGTAATAGTGTCTCCGTGAGGAGAGAGACTGGTAAAGCAGCACCACGTAGGCAGGATCCGCGGCTAGGGACCGGTAAGGGGCCGCCATGTCTGCAGGGG